TACATTCTTGGCTGGCATTGTGGTATAGCGGGCGAAGCTGCTGCTCGCAACACCAGCAACCCATGTCTGAGAGCTGGTTCGAGTCCCGGCTGCTCCACTTCCCATCAAGCTCCCTGCGAAGGCACCTGGGAAACCGGTGGAGGCTGGGCCAAGCGCTTCCACCCTACACCCGTGTGGGAGACCCAGAAGGAGCTCCTGGCTTTGGTCCAAGCCATGGTTGCTGCAGACATTTGGGGAGTGAACCAGCAGAATAAAACCCTCTCTCACCTCTGTCTATATTTCTTTTTCTGTAATTCTGCCTTTCCTAAATGAAGAAATCGATCTCTTAAAAAAAAAAAAAAAAGAGGGCCCGGTGTAATAGCGTAGTGGCTGAAGTCCTCACCCCTTGCATGTCTGGGATCCCATATGGGCTCCAGTTCTAATCCTGGCAGCTCCTTACCATCCAGCTTACTATCCACTTCCCATCCAGCTCCTGCTGTGGCCTGGGAAAACAGTCAAGGATGGCCCAAAGCCTTGGGACCCTGCACTCATGTGGGAGACCTGGAAGAGCTCCTGGTTTCTAGCTTTAGATTGGCTCAGGGTCAGACATTGTGGTCACTTGGGAAGTGAACCATCAGAAGCAAGATCCTCCTCTCTGTCTCTCTTCCTCTCTGTATAATCCGCCTTTCCAGTAAAAATAAATAAATCTTAAAAAAAAAATTAACCTGCCATGGATAAACTGCCGTTGGAGTCCTGCCTGCGATTGCCTTGGCAGGGTCGGACCACACAATTCTTGTGGGCCAAATGGTCCCCACCCCCACTCAGTTTAGTGTATCAGAATTCCGTGTGCCACAGCCCACAGACCATGGCATACAAAGCGGTGACCCCACCCAAGGATGTCTGAACCTCGAGGAACAAGCCACGCTAAGCAGGAGCTTGGGCTGGGCAAGTAGCCCTTCTTCCTGCTGGACTCACCCTGCCGAAGGCCTGGGCAAGCAGCATGCTCAGAGCAGAGAGCCTGGGGGCCACACTCAACCCACCTGTCAGGCAGGAGTCAGGCCTCCAGGCATGCGTGCTGCCAGGGCTGCAGGAAGGGCAGTGGTAAGGTGTGGCATGGCTGAGGACCCCACCACGCCCTCCATGCTCCAGCCCAGCCCTGTCCACTCCCACCTCCTCACAGCCTCACCTGCCTCCCTTCAGGCCCTCATATATGCCACAGCCATCTCACTTCCAGGTCTTCATTCATGTCTCAGGCAGCCAGAGCCTCCTTTCCCTTGCCCAACCAGCCTTCCACCCACCCCCCCCCTCACCTACCCACCCCTCCACCTACCTATCCATTCACCCGTGTACTTTTCCATCCGCCCACCCATCTGCCCTTCCATCAGCCACCCCACCACCCACTCACCCACATTCCATATCCATTCATCCACCCTTCCACCCACTCCAGGTGGACACGGTAGCACACGCAAAGGCCCTGGGGTGGGAGTGTGAGAGGTCAGAGAATGGTCTAGAGCCTGTAGTGCCTACAGGCTGTCCTGGGCAGAGGCCACCCATCTTTGAGGCATGGTCACATGTCTGGGCCGGGCACCCACCGTCCTGCCAAGGATGGTGGCGGGGTGTGGGGTAGGGGAGGCGTGTCTGATCTCACCACCTTTGATGCTGTGCCAGGATGGCCTCACCTCCTACCTGAGCACGCAGAGGGGCCTGGCCTGGGGCTGCTGCCCCTTCTGGGAGGAGTCGGGGGGGTGCCTGTCCTCAAGGGATGGCTGAGCAGCCTTCTGAACCCTGAACTTCAAGGATGGGGAGTGGCCCAGCACCTCCCACACTTGCTCTAGGGGGGGTCAGGCTAGTCCTGAAAGAGTCCTCCATACCCTCCTGGCCCTGGGACCTCCCAGGTTCCGCTCCCTCCTGAAGCTCAGCCAGTTGGATCGCCCTTGACTTCCAGCAGAGTTCCTCCGGACAGTGAGCGTCTCCTGCAGGTGCTGCAGCCGGGAGGGGCCCCGTGTTAGATCCACCAGGTTCTGCGACCTGTTGTGGCCTTCGGCACCCGTGGACAAACCTTGGACGACGTGCCCTCTGACAAGTGGCTGGGGTGTCATCACCAAGGGGCCAATACGCTGCACTTGCCAGGGAGGCCCTGGCAGTGAGGAAGCTGTGGAGTGCACACACACTGCTAGGTCCCGCTGGGTTCTGCCAGAGCATCTTCAGCCGTTGCTCATCCTGACGCCTGTGACTGCTGTTCCAACCTTGCACGAGCTCCACTTCCTGCATCCTGCACCCTCCAGGAGTGTCACCTGTTCGCCCTCCTTTCTGCCCAGCTGGCTCCCATAATCAACCCTCTGTCTGAGGTCTCCTCTGCCCCATCCCTGTGCCCCCTCTCCAGCCACAGCTGGCATCCCTGTTGGTAGCAGGGGTCATCTTCTAGCACACAGTTCCTTGAAACCGAGGCCCTGGTTGGCTGGCATGATGGGACATGGCAATGACCTCCCTGTGGGGCTGGGATCCTGAGAGTGGTTGCATCTAAATTTCCCCCCACCCCCACAACCAAGTTCATGTGTTGGAAACTTAAGCTAAGACAAGCATGCCGAGATGGGGGACCTTGCAAGTGGACAACTGCCAGGACTACAGGGTGGGACCTGTGTGCCATCACGGGGGCGAGGGACCCCAGGGCTTTCTTGTCCTTCTGTCTCTCACTGTGGGATGACCGAGAGGAGGGTCCCTGGCCCCCCCCAACCCCCAGCCTTCTGGACTGCAAGGGAGAATTCTTCAGTCCCCATTAAGCAACTGCACAGCAGCACAGGGCAGAACCTCACCCCAGTGGCTGACAGGCACCCCTGGGTAACACATGCTGAACATGAACCTTAAGGGTCCCGGGTCAGGGACACCTGGCAGGTTCTGACTCTCCCCCACCCCCCCGGGGAAAAACAGTGTCCAGGCACACACAGAGCACAAGACAGCACCCTTGACAACCAGAAAAGCATCCTGCTTTTATTTAACCTCTTGTAGACACGGAGAACAAAAATGGCCAAAAAAAAACCACAAACCCCCTCGATCTGATCCTGCCGGTTGCGGAGCTGCACCCCAGGCGGCACGCACAGCCCCGCTGGATTTCTGGTGTGGGGAGTGATCTGGAAGGAGTGAGACCCTGAGAACGGTAGAGACACACTGAGCTGGACAGGGACAGGCCTGGGGAGGGGGAGGGTGCCAGGAAAGCCTGGGAGTAGCCTGGCAGAGCCCCATGGCTACGCTGCAAGGGAGCTGGGGGGTGTGTGTGGGGGGGCGGGGGGGGGGCTTGCACCTGTTTATTGCTTTCCGTGGCCACCTGTCGCCTAGATACTGCTGAGATCCGGCAGCACGTGAGCTGGAAACTGGCTGTGTCCTGGGCTGCTCCAGCTGTGTGGGCTGCAGGTTTGTGAGCCAGACCCCTCGAATCCCTCCGCCCTCAGCCTCAGGTGCACCTCCTGTTGGCCCAGCAGGCCCAGGAAGGGACAGCTGGGAGAAAGAAACAGGGCTAAGAAAAAAAAAAATACATCCCATTGGGGCATTTAGGCAACGGGGGATGGGCAGGGCACAGGCAGCAAAGGTGCCCGGCCTTGGCGGGGTGGGGTGGGGAATCCTGATGTCAGCACAGCTGGGAGGCCCCAGCCACTCTGCCACGCTCATCACACCTGGGTCTACCCGCTGAGCCTTGGTCTGTCTCCTTGTCTGTTCAAAATCGGGGTGACTGGGTGACTGCCCTGGAGGCACGCTCAGGCCACGTGAGGGTCAACGGAGCCGGCCCAGGGAGCAGGTCCTGAGTAGAAAGGCACGGATTCCCTGCCTGCTCCCACCAGGGTCTTGTACAGGCTGTGGGCCCAGGCCCCAGCCACACGGGGCTCCTGGGGACAGGGGTGGGGTAGCACCAGAGGACAGGCCAGCCACGGGCCATCAGGATATGCTGGCTGAGGGGCGGTCTGTGTCACTTTAAGGCAGCCCCAAGAGGCCTGGGCCTCGCCTGTGGAAACCCCACGGTCAAGTACTCGGAGGGGGGGGGGGGTCAGTTACCTGCTGAGGAGCACAGTGTGCAGGGCCCTGCTGGGGCCAGGGGGGCATCACTGCCTCTCTGCTCCATGGCCAGCCCTGGTGATGCTCGGCCACTGAGCCACAAAGAAGTCAGGAGCTTGTGCTCTAGGTATGTACACGTGTGTGTGTGTGTGTGTGTGTGCGTGTGTGTGTGTGTGTGTGTGTAGGGGGGACCTCCTGGGGAGCCCCCCCAGCCACTCCCAGGCCCACAACCTGTTCTCTCCTCTCAAACTGTAACCCTAGCCACCTGGCACAGGCCAGCTGAGCCCCTTGCTCCCCGATCCCAGGTTGAAGGGCACCGAGGGGAGCCAGCCAGTGGCCATTGCTGACCCACACCTGGGAGCCCAGGCCAGTCTTGAGGTCCCTGCGCCTGCGCACAACACCACCCTTGGGAAGTTGGCTGGGGCATGTCCCTTCCCTTCCGCCGCACTCCCCACAGAGAGCAGGGTCTCAGTGCCAGCACTGGGCAGCGAAGGGGGGTCATGCAAAAGCACTCCTGTGGACACCCCAGCCCACAGAGGGAGCCGTGAACCCGAAAAGCAGGGCCTGGACTCATCCCAGCCCCCACAGGGGTCCTCCACGACCTGCTGCTACACTGGGCTTCTGGGCAGGACTGGGGGGGACGGGCCCTGATGGAGAGCGAAGACTCCCCCATCCCAAGGCATCCTGGGGTCCCCACTGCCTCCGAAACAGCTGAGCCCGGGCTGCCTGTGGGAGGCAGACAGTGGCGACCTCTGTTTGCTGCAGAGGTCGACGGCCAAGGACAACACGGCCACCGCTCAGCACGTGGTCATGTGTGTGCGTCGTGCGTGTGCAAGTGTGTGTGTGAATGAGTTTGAGCCTGGGTTGGTGCTCAGTCCTCACCTCTCACAGCCCCTGCTGGGGACACAGGGTCTAGGAGAGGCTGGGGGGACGGGGTGCTGCTGGTAGCTGGGGTGCAGTGTTCCTGCCCTTGGAAGTTGGCATGCAAGGGTTATTTATTGCTCCATGGGGCTGCCGGAGATGCTCTCCTGGCTCCCAGGACAGCCATTCCCAGGCGGTGGCCACAGGACAGCGCTGCTGTAGGGAGCCTGGGGTACCCCCCCCGCGAAGCTCGGCTGGTGTCTGCATGGCAGGAGCTGCCGAGAGCCGAGGCCGTGGGTGCTGGACCCATCCTTAGCCAGGAGTAGGAGCCGGGGTCCACAGGCGGGCAAGCGTCCTCGTGGAGTCTGCTCCCGGCAGGGGGGAAGACCGTGGGGCCAGCTGGGGGCCGTCACGGCTGCAGGCGCTCCAGGTACTGCGGCAGGGGGTTTTCCTTGACGTACTTCTGGATGTACCAGCAAGTGAGGTGAGCCTTCAGGTCCTCCTCCACCACGAAGTCCAGCGCAGCCTGGGGCCAGGGTAGAGGAGTGGGGAGGGGTCAGAGTCCTGCCACACACGTAGTAGCATAGGGCCTTTACTGGTGGCATCTCTGAGCCTCCTCCTCCCTGGTAACCTAGGATGACCCTGGTACAAGGTACAGGTGCAAGTCCCCAGGGGTCTGCCATTCTGTTGAGCTAGGCTGGGGAAGGAGCAGGGGTCAGGACAGGTGAGAGGAGGAGGGATAGCTGAGGGCCCCCAGGCCATTCTTCGCTTGTGTTTGCAATACCCCCTGGTCCAGCCCAAGCCTGGACATGGGCCAGTTGGTATGACCATCCCACCCCCATGCCAATGCCACCACCAGCTCTGCAAGGGTTTACTGAAGTACACTTGCTATATGCCAAGTGCTTGGGTCTTGGAACAGGAGCAGGCTAACCCAGCAGGCACGTGGTGACCCTGGCGGGTTCACTGTGCTAGAACCCTGCAGGACAAGAAGCACAGGGCTCGCAAGGACCACCGGCAACCACAGGAGATGCTCAGGAGGTGAGGTGCGCCAGGTGCCAGCTTCAGCCTACCAGCTGCAGCGTGGGACCGGGCTCACGCTGGCCCAGCAATAGGCTAGTAAAGATGGAGGCCCCTGTACCCATCTCCAGCCCCGCATCCCACCAGCCCATACCTTGGCAAGGTGCTTGGCGATACCTCGGCCACGGTAGGCATCGGGGACCTCGGTGTGCTGCAGGTCCACAATTCGCTTGCCCACGTACTCATAGAGCAGGACAGCCCGGTCATGGCACCCTGGGGGAGGGAACAGGTACATTCAGGGACACCAGAGACCAGGCCTGCTGAACATGGCAGCCCCCAAAGAACACTCAGGTGGGCATCGGTTGCTACCCTGGTCAGTTTCTGCTGCCCCCTCCATGGTTACACCTGAACCCCATCCCAAGTCACCCAGCTGCCTCCACTCACTATCCATCTTTCTACCCACTCCTCCATCCAGCCACTCATGTATCCCAGGCACCCACTGACCCATCCAGCCATTCTTCTATCCAACCTCCCATCAGCCTGGATAAGCATATCCTGTCACCCACTTATCCATTCACCACTCACCCCTCCATCGAGCCATCCAGCTAGCCACTCCTCCACGAACACATCCGCCCACCCGCTCCTCCACTCATCCACTTGACTATCACGCGTTTCCTTCTGTCCATTTCTCTACTTTCCCATCCATTCATCCAACAGTTCCTGAACTCAGCTATCACTTTAGGTACTAGGACAAAGTGACAGACAAGCCAGCTGAAGGACCGGATGTGGGCACAGACAGTAGAGGCCAGCAAGCCTGGCTACAGCAGGCCCGAGTACCAGCCTGCGTGGCTGGCAGGCAGAGACGGGGAGGAGGAAGGCGAATCAGTCATGCCCGAGTATGAGGAACAGTGTGCCAAGCAGAGGGATCAGCCGGTACAAAGACTCTCAGCCATTCGAACAAGGCCTCCACCTGCAAGCACTGGGATCCCATACAGGGGGCTGGTTCAAGCCCCAGCTGCTCCATTTCTCATCCAGCTCCCTGCTTGTGGCCTGGGAAAGAAGCAGCAAATAGCTCAAGTCCTTGGGCACCTGCGCCCACATGGGAGACCCAGAAGCAGCTCCTGGTTCCTGGCTTCGGATCGGCTTAAGCTCTGTCCATTGCAGACGTTTGAAGAACGAACCAAGAGATGGAAGATCTCTCTGTCTCTCCTCTCTGTAAATCTGCCTTTCCAATAAAAAGAAACATATACTTTAAAAGATTAAAAGTTCAGAGAATGTGTGTATCATAGCACAGATCGCACACACAGGGCTCTGCTCCTACGACGCCCCCAAGAGGCGCTCCAAAGTGAACAGTGGCTTCACTTTCACACTCCCAAATAACCGTGTATCTGTGAAGCCCAGCTTGCTACCAGTGTTTTGAAGTATTCATTTCCGGGAGTCACAAGGTGATCAGTAACCCAGGTGAGGGAGTGGGAAAGAGCCGCCAGGCCAGGGTGAGCTGACAGGTGGGTGACCCAAGGGCAGGTGTGAAGGCGTTGAGGCTGGGAGTCCCGGTTCTGGGGCCTGGGCAAGGACTCTGCAGCGCTGGGAGCCTCCCCCATCGCAACCCAGGAGCCGCAGCTTCTGCCCCCTCCCCCAAGGCTCCCAGACCCCCAGCTTGTGGAAGGCATTGCCAGGGGCTGGTTCAGGTTTGCGTGCCAGGTAGGCACCCCAGAATGACACCCACAGACCCCTCCCTGTGGAGTGCCTCTCAGCGGGGGAAGACGCAGGAAGAAGGATGGTCCTGCCGGTGACAGGTGGATGTTGCGCTCAGGAGAGTGGCGCAGAGAGGGACAGGCAGCCTGGGGAGGGGGCCCAGAGGGCACATGCAAAGGTCCCAGGGTCGGCTGTGGAAGTGGCAGTGAGACAGCCAGTTGTCTAGGTAGGGGTGAGTGAGCCTGGCAGGAATGAGGGGTCCCGGGGACACCCCACGCACAGCCCAGCAGGGACAAAGGAGGTACATACTGTCATCTTGGCTCACTGGCAGTGGCTTGGCTCAGGCCTCCAGGGGCCCTGATCTGGGCTCCGGAACCTGCCCCAAGGGCCCAAGGCCAGGCAGCACCCGTCACCTGGGAATCACGAAAAGGAACCCAAGGCCTGGGGGCCATCGTGTGCTGTGGCTGTCTAGAGAGAAAGCAGGTTGATGCTGCTCTCCTAAGGGGGAGGCCCTTCCCTGCGAGCCCCGCCCCCCAAATGGGGGACCAAAGACCCCTAAGAAATGGGGCTTCACCTATACACGTCGGAGGGTGATGGGTGAGTCAGGGTGCCCCAGGCCTCTGGCAGCGGAGGTGTGAGGGGAAGTTCACCAGTCCTCAGCTGGTCTGTGGGGAGGACGCGTGCAGGTGCACAGCCTGGCTGGGGGCTCATCCTCATGGGAACACCGGCTCCCAGCAGGTGCACGGATGCAGGGGCCTGGCACAGGGGCAGGGCCTCATCTCCAAGTGCTACTCAGCTCTGAGTGGGGCAGAGGAGGAGGCCAGAGCAGGGCAGCTCTGGGAGGGAGGTGGGCAGCTTAGCTACCTCCTGTGCCCGTTGTTTGCCCATCTGTCAAATGGACCCTTTAACAAAACCTGGAAAGGGTGGGAAGGCATCAAATGGCCTCCCGCCATCCCCACATCACTAAATCCCTTCAGTCCACATCTGTCCAGGATCTGGGCCTTCCTGCCTGGCCCTCGCATTGACTGCTGTAAGTGTGCAGTGGCCGCTGCCTGCGTCTGCTCCACCCTGCCCTCCGAGCCAGGTAGGACAGCCCAGCCGCTGCTGGGCGACTCCTGGGCGCCCCAACCTGCTGTTTTGCTACTCAAGGGACCCAGAGAGGGGTTTTCCATCCCCCCTACCTGGTGCAGGGCCTCCTGGTACACAGTAAGTGCTCACCAAACACAGGTGCTCCAGCGTCTCCCCTCCCCCACGCCTGAGCTGGCAGGAACACAGCTGGCCTCACTCTGCCCAGCCCTTCACACCTGCTGGCTTCCAGGTGAGGCCTGAGCCCAGATGCAAATACTCCCTGGGGCCCCAGTGCTGGCAGGGCGCAGGTTGCAGAGGAGAGCAGGAACCCAGGAGGAGCTGTGGCTAGGCCATCCTGACCACGCTCAGCTCCCAGCTCCGGAGGGCTGGCGCTGTCTGGGGGGCTGGCGCTGTGTCAGCCCATTTGGAAGAGAGAAGCCAAGCTGAGCTGAACACCCCTTCTTCCTTCTTTCCCTTGGGGGTGCCACAGGACTCTGCACCTCAGAAAGAGGGACTCAGAAAGTCCCGCGGCTTCTCCCTGTCCCTTAAGAGACGGGGAAGGGCTGCTGAGTGTCACAGCCAGACGGGGACGGACCTGGGATGACAAGAGGCAGGAGGTGGACCAAGGTGGCCAAGGTCCCGTTTTTGAGGTCCCACACTGGGCAAGGAAAGCCCTTTCTAGAAACCGCCCTGGCCTCAGTTTCGCCATCTGTGACGAAGGGTGGCAGTGCCAGTCCCAAGCGTAAGGCCGCAGAGGCCGTGGAGGCTGTGGCTGGATTAGATGGCCGGTACTGCCCAGCTGGTGTGTATGTGTTTGGGCGAGTGTCCTGAGAGGGGGTCGAGCCCTGTTTCACCCCCACCGGCTGACCCTCAGGAAAGCTTCCAGCTTGCCCTCCAGGTTGTCCCGGGCCTTTGCCTTCCCGTCTCAGAAATGGGCTCCGCAGCCCCCTGCGGGTTCTCCCCATCAGGACAGGGCCACAGTGGGCCAGGCTCAGGGTGGCCTCAAAGGAGCTCCCGGCTATCAACATTCTATTTCTCACCCCAAAGGGGCGGGCGCGGGCTGCTCGAAGCTTCCAAAACAACGACCCCCGCACCGCCACACCAGCCCCCAACCCTGCTGTGTGCTCCCCACACACCCGCTGCGCCCTCCCCAACCAACCCGTGGGGTGCAGGCGGGGAGACCGAGGCACGGGGGCGCACGGGGGCGCACGGGGACGCACAGGAGCTCCAGCCTCGCTCAGCCTCGCCTCGGGACGCGGACCGGAGTCGCGCAAGGGGCCACCCCGCCGCGGGCTCCCTCCCGCCCCCGGAAGACGGCCCGGTCCGTGCGAGCAGGTGCCCGGGAGGCCAGAGTACCCCCCCCCCCCCGGGGCGCACACAAAAGGCGAGCGGGGCGCGTTACCGTTGAGCCGGACGGTGAACTGGCGGCGCCGCCGGTCGTGCTCCACGCGGATGGGGCATCCCTGCTCCTGCGCGCCGGGCTGCGCGGCGGCCCCCGAGTGCGCCATGAGGGGCGCGGGCCGCGGCGGGGTCGGGGTGCCGGGCGCGCGGGGTGCCGGGCGCGGGGTGCCGGGCGCGCGGGGTGCGGCCCGGGGCGGCGTTGGCGTTGACACTGCGCGGTGGCGGCTGCTGCTGCGGCGGCGGCAGCAACAAAAAAAATAATAATAAAATAAAATAAAATAAAGAAGCAGAAGACGGCGGCGGGGGCGGGGCGGCGGCCAGGAAATCAGCTGTGCGGTCACGTGCGGCGCGCGGCCCAAGGGCAGGCGGTCTTTTTGTTTTGATACATTCCTGTCGGCTCTTAAAGGGGCCGCGCGCCGCGTGCCGCAGGCAACCCCAAACAAAACAAGGCGCCGCCTCCCACGCGGGCCGCCTTCTCTTCCCCTTCTCCCTCCCCTCCTCTCCACAATTCGCAGCCTTGCATTTTGCCCGGTGGCGAGCCTCCTGGCGTGAGCTAGAACGGTCTCCCACGACCCACCCATCCCCAAAAAAAGACGGACCCCCCACTTCCACTCACTTATAGGGAGATTTTGCTGAGGCAGCGTTTATTAGGGGCCTGCTGCCCTGCAGAGCAGCACGGCGAGGGTTCCAGCGGCAGCTGGAGCTCTGCATTTGTTTTTTTGTTCTTTTTGACTATTTGGGTTCCACTGACAAGGAGGAGGAAAGAAGTTCCGGGTGATGGGAGGGACCATCAGGAGTTGGGGGCCACCTCCCGCGTGCATTTGGGGCAGGGGGATGGGGAGACCCGGTTTACTTAGCCTCGCTGCACGTGCTGATGCCCAGCGGGCACCTGCCCCGTTGTTTATTTCGTATGACTGCAGGCCTGGGTGGGGGGAGAGTTCCTGGCAGGGCCCAGCACATGGCAAGCACCAGATAAAAGCCAGGCCCCTCCTATCTCTGGCTCCCTTCTTTCTCTCCTGCTTCATTTTTATTTTTGAAAGATTGATTTATTTATTTGAAAGGCAGAGTTACGCAGGGGGATCTTCTGTCTGATCTTCTGGGTCTCCCACGCGGGTGCAGGGTCCCAAGGCTTTGGGCCGTCCTCCACTGCTTTCCCGGGCCACAAGCAGGGAGCTGGATGGGAAGTGGGGCTGCCGGGATTAGAACCGGCGTCCATAATGGTATCGCAGCGAGTTCAAGGCAAGGACTTTAGCTGCTTAGCCACGCTGCTGGCTGAGGTTTTAACATTTTTGTTTTAAGACATTGAAGGTAGCAGTGTGCCAGGGCAGGTTGTGGGCCTCAGGGGTCCTGGACAAGCCACATCCTTGGGCACCACTGAGCTTGGCCAGGGACCTGAGGTCCCACCATGCAGGGAGACCCCACTGATGGCCTTGGGCCAGCCAGGAACCTGGGCAGGCTGTAGCTGCTGTGGGCACTCTGTTGGTCTAGGAAAAGCAGAGCAGAGACCTGGCAGATTCTGGGCAGTCACATCCACACTAGTCCAGGATCCTAGGGAGAGATCCGCACTGCTGACCTTTGCAATCTTCACAAAACCTGAGCTTTTGTGTCCCATGCCTCTCAGATGCAACAGGATCTTATGTCTGAGGAGCCAGAGCCCAGGGTGTGTGTCCTGACAGCGGAACACACGGTGCGTGTTGTGCTGCCTCCTGTGCGGGGGAGGGGGAGGGAGAGGCTCACGCCCAGGTGTACAGGAAGGGTGAGTCAGCCTGCTCCTGTCCAGGCCCTTGCATGCCGTTTCAGAAGGCAGAAACAGGCCAGCGACTTGGAGTGGCGATGGCGAGCATGGGGCGCAGTCATTGGCACCAGTTGCAATTTCACCAGTTCATGAGATGGGCCCATGAGATGAGAAAAGATTTCTTTCTTTTTTTTTTTTTTTTAAGATTTATTTATTTATTTATTGGAAAGTCAGATATACAGACAGGAGGAGAGGCAGAGAGGAAGATCTTCCGTCCGATGATTCACTCCCCAAGTGAGCCGCAATGGCCGATGCTATGCCGATCTGAAGCCAGGAGCCAGAAACTTCTTCCAGGTCTCCCACACGATGCAGGGTCCCAAGGCTTTGGGCCGTCCTCGACTGCTTTCCCAGGCCACAAGCAGGGAGCTGGATGGGAAGTGGAGCAGCCGGGATTAGAACCGGCGCCCATATAGGATCCTGGCCCATTCAAGGGCCCATTCAAGGGCCCATTCAAGGCGAGGACTTTAGCTGCTTGGCCACACTGCTGAGCCCGGGGAGAGAGTTCTGAACCTGAGATCGGCAAGAACTGTGCCCTAAATCATCAGGAAGTGGCTGCAGAAGAAGTAATGAAACTGCACCCTCCAGCCGCTCTGAAGGGTCAGGATTCTCCGAGGGAGGAACAAAATGGGGCAGGCAGGTTGCAAGCATAGAGTCCCAAACTGGAAACCGTACCTCCCCCATCCTCCCCCATCCTCCCCCATTCCCCCATCCTTCCCCATCCTCCCCCATTCCCCATTCTCCCCCATCCTCCCCATCCCCATTCTCCCCAATCCTTCCCCATTCTCCCCCATCCTCCCCCATCCCCCATCCCCCATCCTCCCCCATTCCCCCATCCTTCCCCATTCCCCCCATCCCCCATCCTCCCCCATCCCCCATCCTCCCCCATTCCCCATCCTCCCCCATCCTCCCCATCCTCCCCCATTCCCCATCCTCCCCCATCCTCCCCCATCCTCCCGCATCCCCCATCCTCCCCCACCCCCATCCTCCCCCATCCCCATGCCTACAAGTCAGTCGGATGGCCTCCCCGTCCCAGGATGCATTCCCTCTCTCCCAGGACACAGGGCGGGAGGAAGCCAGGACACAGGGAGGGCTCCCTCGCTCCTCCTCTGGACACAAAATGAAAGCAGCAACATCTCTCTCAATTCTTCAGCCCCGTCTACTCCTTGGAGATAATCTGTCCCATGTGTGCCTATGGTTTCCTCACCTCTTAAATAAATTTGAACCCCTCCCCCCACACACAGACACACACAAAAGTTAAGGAAAGTAGTGTTTACACAGAATAAAAATTCCTCATTTTGAGACAGGGTTGTGGACGAAGCTGTTGCTGATTTTATTTTATTATTGAAAAGTCAGATTTTTAAAAAAGATTTATTTGTTTTTATTGGAAAGGCAGATGATTCACTCCCCAAGTGATCACAACTGCCGGTATTGCACTGATATGAAGCTGGGAGCCAGAAGCTCTTCCGGGCCTCCCATGCAGGTGCAGGGTCTCAAGGCTTTGGGCTGTTCTTGACTGCTTTCCCAGGTCACAAGCAGGGAGTTGGGGACAGGAGAGGTCGAGGGAGACTCCTGCAGCGAGGAGGCCACCCCATGTAGGCAGGGCAGGCTTTCGACCATTCTGTGGTGGACACTGCGGGGGCTCACTGCTTCTTCAAGGCTCCCACAGACATGGAGCTGCCCTGTACAGCGGCCAGCAAGGAGGCCTCCAGCCGGGAAGGGCAGACAGGGATGGTCTTCCATCCTAGCGTGGCTTAGGGGAGGCAACAGCCCATTTGTATCGCCATGCTGCAGGAGAGTCCCATAGAAGTCATGAGAGGAAGCCGTCTTCAGCCCTGTGTCTCGGCCATGGATGGCCTGCATGGACCCTGGGTCAAGGGGCTTGAAGGAATGCAGGGAAGGGGCCTGTGGGCCCTCCTGGCTGCCCAGCTCTGGGGCTGGGCCATCTGTGCCATGCACAGGCACTGGGGGATCGGGCAGACTCCACCACCGGAGCAGCCTTTCCCAGTGGCACATGGTCCAAGGGGCCCTGGTGGGGCTGGACCCACATGGACTCCCACAAGCCTGCATGGGGGGTCTTGCTTGAGGGATTCAGAGCCGTCTTGCTCCATAGAGTTTTCCTCTTCTGTCCAGTCAATGTAGATGGTGGGTGGTTCTGAAAAGGGAGTCTCAGCGAGGTTAGCTGGGGATTCAGGGAGTTGCTGCAGTGTGCCTGGGTCCTGAGCAGTTTGCCTGCCCTGCAGAGGTGTGGGGGCAGCAGCAGGCTTCTCAGAGCCTGGTGCATTCCTCGCGGAGCTTTGCTGAAAGGAAAACAGAGCAGGTTTGCTTCTGCACAGGCACCAAGTGGCCTGCAGGGTGCATGGGCTGCACCTAATCCCTTCAGTCCCGACACCAGGGGTGACACCAAGGGTACCCTCCAGGCTGCTGACCCCAGGGGAAGGCTGTGTGCATGCAGGGCGGTGGCAGGAACACCGAGCTCCTGCTCACCCTGAGAATTCAGGAGCCAAGCCTGACTCTGCTTCTCAGAGGTTATCTGTGGGTGCTCTCTGTTCACAAACTGACCTCGCGACAGCCGTGCTCCCTGTGGGCCCTGACATTCTCCGTAGTCTGCCTCCTGAGCAGCTCAAATGTCCCATAGCACGTGGCCTGGGAAGCCTAGAGGCTTCCCAGACCCTCAGTAATACAGGTGTCTGTTGGGAAGCCAACGGCATGCGGCTCCATGCCGGCCAGCAGAAAGCTTTGCCTGCTATTATTGCTCCTCTTTTCTGCTGCTAGCCTGGGGGCTCCATATGGTGATAGGAGAGCCTTGGTCTTTGCTGCTTCTGGAAAGAAACGCGATATGTGGGCCCAGCGCTATAGCATAGTGGCTAAACTCCTTGCCTTGCATGCCCGGGATCCCATATGGGTGCTAGTTCTAATCCCGGCAACCCTGCCTCCCATCCTCTCCCTGCTTGTGGCCTGGGAAAGCAGTTGAGGATGACCCAAAGCTTTGGGACGCTGCACCCCCATGGGAAACCTGGAAGAGGCTCTGGGCTCCTGGCTTCAGATCGGCTCAGCTCTGGCTGTTGCGGCTGCTTAAGGAGTGAATCATCGGATGGAAGATTCGCTGTCTCTTCTCTGTGTATCTCTGGAAACAGAGAGAGAGAGATGCCGGATGCCCACAGTATCCGGGGACAAAGATGCCCACAGTATCCAGGGGACAAAGGCTTTCCCCAGTCTGCATTGTCTAGGAAGCCGTAAAGAAAAAGGAGAAACCGAGGCCAGGAGCAAGAGTCTGCTAAGTTTTCCAGCAGTTCTTTCATCCATCTCTGTGCTGAGAGCTCATGGTGCCTGTCCTTGACCCTTGGATGATGAATGGGAACCCGACAG